CTTACCCTCAAAACTTCAACCAGTCCCCATAAGTACTCTGCATTTTCAATTTTCCAATGTCACAGCTAAGAAGCATAAAAAAATTTTTAAAAAGAAAAAAAAGTTCTTAAACATAATGCACTCTGTGCAGAGAGTATTAAGGCAAGCCCACATAGGTATCAAACAACTTTTCCGTTCTGTGTTTCCAAGAACCCCTCCATTCTCTCGCTCGAGAAACTCAGCAACGCACAGATCAACAATGGACATTCGGGAATCCATTAGTAACCAGACTGACGTTTCTTTGTTTCTTGCAAAGCACTTGGTTTCTACTAAGGCCAAGGACGCCAACCTGGTGTTCTCGCCGGTGTCGATTCATGTTGTGCTGGGCTTGATCGCTGCCGGGTCTAAAGGCAACACGCTAGACCAGCTACTCAGTTTTCTCAAGTCCACGGGAACCGAAGAGCTTAATTCTCTTTCATCCCAGCTCGTCACTCTCGTCTTCGCTGACGGTGGTTCGCTCGGTGGGCCCCAATTGTCCTTCGCAAACGGCGTTTGGATTGATCGGAGTCTTTGCCTGAAGCCCACGTTTAAAGAAATTGTCGATAATTCTTATAAGGCTGCTGCCAGAAATGTTGATTTCCAGACCAAGGTTGGGTTTTTATTATAATCTATGCAGAATTTGTGTTCGACGAAAAATGCAATTTTTATTGATTTAATAAAATCAATTGTTAATAGTTCTATCTGAACACATAATAATCCGTTGGAATTCCGTATGTTCTTTTGTAGTGATCAGTACTTTATTAACTCAAGTGCCTTAGAGTGTCAACGTAGAAAATAGAATGTATTGAAATTTACACTATGCTCAACTAGGAATTTGAAAATTTACAGTGTTAACTGAGATCTATTGGTGTGGCATTTGTAGTTGTTGGGTACCTTCGTGATTGATTTTAACGCGGACTGTCTTTTTTGAGTTGTGAATATGCGGATGGTTATCCCTTAGTTGAGATAAATGTTATTTCTCAGTTGTGACTTGAGATAACCGCTATACAATCGTAGCAGGTCGAGCTTATCCGTAACTATGGTAGTGGTGAGTACCTGTATTCTTGTCATTATGCCCCAAAATGGCCCTCACAGTAAGATATGAGGCTTATTGTTAGATCATTCCAGACTCATGGCTTGGTCATCCACTGTATCATGCTTTGTTCTGTTAGGGATGTCAATTGGGCCGAGTCGGCTCACGGCTTGTCGGTTCGGCTCGTCAAAGCTCGACTCGTGGGATGCATTTGACGAGCCCAAGCGGGGGGTCCCGTCCAAAGAGCCAAGCCCGCTCGGCTCGCCGAGCCCACGAGCTGGCTCGTCCAAAAATGTGGAAAAAATAAAATTTTATCAATAAAATTTGAAAAATTTGCAAAAAAAAAAAAAAAAAAGGTTCACGAGCTCGCGGCTCGTGAGTACACGAGCTCATGGGCCGAGCTCGCCCATGAGCAACGAGCCGAGCCCGAGCTCGGCTTGTGAAAAATGAGCCACGAGCCCGAGCCAAACTCGTGGGTTAACGAGTCGAGTCGAGCCGGCTCGGCTCGGCCCACTGCCATCCCTATGGGTTCGGTTGGTCATTAGGTTAGATGTTCCATCCTGCACTTGGCCGATCCTATCAAGCAGCTAGTACCATCTTAGTTCAGCACTACCTTCGGATGGTTCATAGCGATTCAGCACTAGATTTGTATTGATGAACTAGAAGTCCTTGTTTCTGACTGTATTGTGGACTCCCCTACTTTGGTTGATCTAAGTGTTACTCTTTTATATTCTTGTTCTCTTTTTTCATATTATTCTTCTTTTCAGAGTCTTTTAAGAGGGGACATGGGATTGGGTGGGGAAGGTTGTTACATGTACGAATTGAATTCATCCCCTGAATTGTGTTCCCAAACTTTTTATAGTTCAGGAAACATAGCATGAAATGTCTGTAGTATTGCAATAAATTAATAAATGAAGTATATCATTGACGTACCAGTTACCAAGATCGACTTTCGAGAATGACATAACTACTAATTGAGTAGATCATCTTTACTTTTATGAAGCAACTTGTTTTGCAATCTTAAAGTACTATCAACATCATTCAAAATCTTTCCTGGCTTTGTGAAAATGGGTACGGTACATGAGCGTATGCTAAAATCTAGTAATCTACTAGTTCTTACTTTCCCGAATTTTTTTGAAGAGTAAATATTCTGATTATTTTGTTTTTTACTCTTGATGGTGCTAAAGGCTGTTGAGGCAACCAAGGAGGTGAATCTGTGGGTTGAAAAGGAAACAAGTGGCCTTATCAAAGAAATTCTTCCGTCTGGCTCTGTTGATGGTTCAACGAGGCTCATCTTTGCAAATGCAGTTTACTTCAAAGGTGCGTGGAACGAGAAGTTTGACGCATCAAAGACAAAAGAGGATGAATTTTTCCTCCTAAATGGTAGTTCAGTGCAAGTACCCTTCATGACCAGCAAACAGAAGCAATATATACGTGCCTTTGATGGTTTTAAAGTTTTGGGGCTTCCATACAAACAAGGTGAAGACAAGCGTAAATTCTCTATGTATATCTTTCTTCCTGATGCAAAAGACGGACTGCCAGCTTTAGTAGAAAAACTTGGCTGTGAATCTGGCTTCTTGGAGCATCACCTCCCGTATCAACAAGTGAAAGTGGGTGCCTTCCATATTCCAAAATTCAAAGTATCTTTTGGGTTCGAAGCTTCCGAAATCCTCAAGGGACTAGGGGTCATGTTGCCTTTTTCTGGCGATGGACTCCCTGAGATGGTGGACTCTCCTTTTGGTAAAAACCTTTATGTTTCGAGCATTTTCCACAAATCATTTATCGAGGTAAACGAGGAAGGCACGGAAGCTGCAGCTGCAACTGCTGGTGTTATAAAACAAAGGAGTTTGACAATGGAGGACAATTTGGATTTTGTGGCTGACCATCCATTCCTGTTTGTTGTTAGAGAAGATATGACTGGGGTGGTACTATTTATTGGGCAGATTCATAATCCCCTCTCCTGTTAATTGAAGCAACTGTTCAATCAATGGATGTGTAGGTCCATGTACCAACACTGTTAAACCTCTTACATGTTTGTTTGGAATTTGATTTCATATTTGGAGACGATGGATGAAGAAACACAGCATTTTGATGTACATTATTTTGCTCGTATAATTGGTATACTGTATATCCTTCCATGGAGAATTTTTGACATGTTTTAGATTCATTTTGTTGCAAATGAAAAGGCTAAACAACAAATAATATATCCTAACGAGTGGAAAATGCATGAAATTTTTTTTAATGATTCGACTCCTTGAACAGGGCATACTCCAACAAGGCCATTGCTCAAATACAAGAAACCTCTTTCTCAAATGTCAAGAGGGTAATTTAGGCTAATATCGAGGCAGCTACAGCTTGTGAAGTTTTGATGGAAGAGACATAACGCCAAAAGAGATGTCACAGTGAAGCTAACAATCAGTTGATGTTGCAGATTACCCCACTTGATAACAAGAGATATTGGGTGCTTTCAGAGGAGTTGAGGTGCAGCCTTGAAGGACTACGGCCTATGCCTGAGGTGTGATGGCTAAACATTGCGAGGGTGTGGCCCAACATTTGGGCAGGCAATGATCGAGGGAACTGATTGACGTTAGCATGAGAAGAATGCAGCGGGTGGAGGCTGTTCAAACATTGAGACCCCATTCGTGCAACTCTATCATGAACAATGGGGTGGATTTGGTTCACATAAAGATTATGACGCTGTTCAGTTTTTTACATTGAGGTCGATGAAAGTTTACCAGATGGCACTGATCTATCGAGTCATTTGAAATATAAAATATTTAGAGAATTTATGCCGCGGATTTCAGTACGAAACGTCTTCGATATTATAAGAACAATGAATGAAGATACAAACTAGGGCATGAAGGGCACGTGTGGCTAGTGGTGTTAAATGGATTGAGTCGAGCACCATGCAAGTCAGCTCGCGTCCACCTGTTGAGTGAGACAAGTTGCTCACCACTCGTCAATTTTTTTGTTTTACTTAAAATTATATTTTCACGAGTCCGCTCGAGTCAACTGCTCACCTCAGGCGCAAGGCAAGCGGGCAGCTCCCACTTAACACCCCTACGCTTGGCATTATTATAACTTTAGTTATTTTTATTATCTTTCTATTGTTATTTCTATTAGGTATTATTTATAATATGTTTATAGTTCAGAAACTAATAATGCAATTTTACTTAGGTTTGCTTTAGGTTTTAAGAGTTACCACTCACTTTGTGTTTTTTATTGTTCTGATGATGATGATGATGAGATTTTTTTTTTCTAATTTACATATTCAAATAAATATTCTATTAATGGATAATTTATCGATGTCATACTATTCACAACGGCCACTAAAATCACCAAGGCTAACCTTATCATAAACTAAGGCACAATGGCCATGAAGATATTAATGTTAATTACTGTTGGAACATTTTAAAAAATTGGTGTTTATTGGTTTGTTTCATCTTCAATGACATGATGTGAAAATTATGTAAAGTTAATATAACTTATAAATTATAATGTAGACTGTAATATAGCAAAAGGGAGGTACAAAAACACGTGAAAAACAGTCGAATTAGTGAACAAGTGTTTCGTGCACCAGATAGTCCTTGACATATTCTTGACTGTTTGAATGATTTTTCTTACTTTGAAAAATCTGAAAATGTAATAAAAATGAAGTGGTTCAACTTTATCGTCATTTTATTCAAATTTAATCTTTTTACGATCGATTGATGTCTTTCATCTGAAAGCAATCCCTGGCATAGACATTTGAGACTCTAAATCTAGGAATTGAAGGTTCAATATCCATCATCACAACCTCCAAATGTTCGGAACTTCAAGTACAATTTCCCTTTATTTTTAATATAGATACTTATACACGAGGAGAGCACTATTCACACAAAAGTTGTTCATATTTCAATTTTCAAATATTAAAAATTTTCCGTCCAAAGTCCAACCTAAGACATCTATTATTAAATTTCATTTATAAAATATCATCCAATACATTTTTAACATTCTGCATTGTAAGTTGTTGGATTGCTGCATTTTGTGATGTGAGCCCATTTTCTAAAGGCTATTGAATTGAGCCCAAATAAATGGCCCGTTATCATGACCTGCAAAGGAAGAATCTAGAAGGCTAAAATTATATCTCTAAAATGAGTTTTTTGGCCATAAGGAGCGTTTTTCTTGGATCAATGACAAATGGCCAATCGATGGACGTTGGATCTTTATCTTTCATATAAATAGGATGCCTCAGATTTTTAGGGTTAGCTTTTAGTATTCTGAGGGTTTTTTGGCTGAGTGTCGTTCTCTCTTCTTTGTTTCTGATCTTGATTTTTCCTCTGAAATACTGAGTGTTATTTTGAGAGAATCTGTAAAGAAACTTTTACGTGAGTTTCTATTAAGGGAAGATTGAGTTGTTTCTCTGTGATCTAGAACTGAGTGTTCTGTAAATTGTACTTTGCCTATTTGTGACCGATTTTTAGTGGATTCGAGCTTAATCATTTATGGATGCTCAACGGGGGACTAAGCGTTAGAAGTGGTCGCTGAACTTCCGGGACCTTTGGCCGTATTTTCTGATTTGTTTTGAGAAAATCTTGATTTCTGCGTTGAGTATTTTTTGGTATAAATTCGATTCTGAAACTACAATGGTATTAGAGCTTGAAATTTTTTGCTTAAATTCAGTTTTCTCAAAACCTAATTTCTGAAACTTGAATCTCAAAGGGGGATTCTCTTGGCCTAAAGAAAATGGGCAGATCTGAAAAAAATTTGCCAACATTCGAAAAAAAAATTTGGGTTGCCTTTGTTATTATTTTTATATATCTTCTTGGAGTTCTTTCTTCTTTCATCCTACAACATTTTTGTTGGTAGCTTTTAAAAGAAAAGGAGTCTGGTTCGACTTGATCTACTCTATATTTTCCTTTGTCTAGGTTTCCTTAAGAGAACCCTAGAATCTGAGGGAATCCAGGGATCTTTCGATTCAAGAAACCAGAATTTTCGATTTTTTAATTCTTATTAGTTTAATACTGTGTGTATTTTTATAACTTGAATTCATATTCTCGTTTTTTTTTAAAACTATTGGGTGATATTAACGGTGTGATATTTTTTTTTTTTT